AACACCCACAGAGGACGTTCCTACGTGGTGTACAACGGTAACGCGGTGGGCGAGATAGACGAATGCGACCAGGACAAGAGAGTCGCCAAATTTACGCCCCTCGAGGCGACGTTTCCCGGAATACCGAAAGGCGTGACGTCGATATTCCGCTACATCGACGGCAATCTGTACTTCACCACTCGGTCGCAGTTCTACAAATTCAACGAATTTACGAGGACCGTCTCGTCGGCCGGTAAATTCGATCTGCGGATACTGAATATCGTCTGCTCTAAGGCCGAACTGCTGCAGCAGTTGCGCGATCTCCTCGATCAAATCGTACGCCTCAACGATAACTCGCTAACGTCGGCGAGCGATTATTGGAACGATGACGACACCGGAGTTCGGCTCTCCGATTTCCGCATCCGCCGAAGGAAGTAGACTACCGCGCAAATTTTCCACACCGCGCCACGCGCGACATAAGTCAAATCTTTCCTACTTATACCGGCGTGTCCCTTCCAAGGCATCAGTGTCGCGTCGTCGGCCGAATACTACGCGTCGGGAAAAAAATCAGAAAGGAACGGTTACCGCGGCGCGAAATGTTCTCGACGTTGGCCGATCGACCCGCGCCGAAGAGTATTTCTCCTACGGAGACGGCGGATTCGGAGGCGAACGACAACGACAATAAAAGACGGAGGATCAGTTCGATGGACGATCGCCAATATCTTCCTCGTCGCCAGGAATCGCGTCGCAGCTCTCATCCTCCAACCGACGCGCCCGTCGAGGACGATCGTCGTCGTCATCAGGAGTTTCGTTCCAACTTTCCCGTCGAATTGCCCCCTGTGCGCATCCTGACGACGCGTTATTTACTGACGACGACTGGCTACAAGTACATAGCCATAGGTATCACGATCAAGACACCGTGGTACAGTCTTCATACCACGCCTTCGTACGTGGATATCGCCCTGGGGGACAAACAAGGAAGGGAAATCTCCCTGACGCTCGACATGTGGAAAGGACTGATCGAGCGCAAACGCGATGTATTGTCGTGCATGGAACGCGCTCTTTCCGACGTAACTCACCCCCCCTCGCCGATGTCGATCGGAGGGATGACAATGCGATTCGGAGTGATCAACAACGGGTCGATCGTACGTATAGAGCTACCCAACCTGGCTCGCGTAGCGATGGTGCGCACAACACTGCTCAAGCTGTACAATCTGCAATTTTGCGTGGATCGCGTCATCCGTGCGCTGAACGCGGCGACCGAGGAGGTCGACGCTAAGTTTTTGCGCTATCGGGAGATAGCCGCCGCCGCGATGAAAATGGAAACTTCGATTCAGCCTTAGATACAGAAGAGCGATTTCTTCGATCCTGACAACATCATCGACTGCGAGATAGCCGCGCTATGTTTCGACTCCTTATAACAATGTCGCGTCTACGAAATGCATATATTCGCGCGAGCGAAACAATGTAAACGCGCTTGTATTATTTTTTGAATAAAAAAAAAACTATATGCGTATCTCATCTGTGCACTCTCTCTTTCCATTTTCCCCCTTTTTTCCCAAATCTGTATACCCATCTCAGCGACCGCGACGCCGAGTTCGAACGCGCGTCACGTAAATTATCGCGAATCATGAATTACAGGTCGAACGCGAGGTGAATGAAAAAAAAAACATTGTCGCGCGTCGATCGAGCGACTAGACGATGAGTCATCTCCATCGATCCCGACGAGTCGGGAAAACCACGTGCTGTCCGTCGCCCGCCGCGGGATCGAAACGACCTTCGGACCGAGAGTTGAAAAACAAAAACATGACAAAACGACGACGACGACGGGCGCGCGACACCCCGCCCTTCCCCGCGAAACGAACCGTCGTTCTCCCTTCCCCCAATTCCCCGAAACGTCCGGACGAGCGACCTCGAACGAGTTCGAACGAGTTCGGACGCGCCCGAACGCGGGGGCGCGCGCGACCGACGACGACGAGAAGAAAAAAAAATAAAAAATAAAAAAAACGAACGAAAAATATCGACCCGCGATTCTCCCAAAACCGCCGTCGGTAACGGCGCGAGCGCCGCTCCGGGCGCCCTCTCGAAAAATGCCCAAATCCCCGCTACGAGCCCCCGTTGGCGGCCCTGCCCCGCGCCGAACCCCCGTTGGCGGCCCTGACGCACCCAACCTTCCGTCAAATGTTCCCCTCGCGTCGCGCACCCCCTCTCGCCCAGTTTTCGCTTCCCCCCGCATAGCCCCCCCACCGATGACCCTTTACACCGTCCCTCGACCCCCGCGCCCACCGCTTACGGCGCTCCCCCCGCGACAGCGAAGCCCCCCCCGACGCCGCGTAACCGCAAGCGAGATCCCTGAGTGTAAAAGTGCCCGTTGCCCTCCTACTAATATAATTTTGCAAACCTTTCAGTTGAGTTTTTGATGAAACTTTATACACATCTAGGATAAGTAAATATAGACAAAAAATGTTTAATTGCAGCCCTAAAAACCACACCCATCATATGTAGGGCTTTTTGCTTTTCTCAGATATAAATTATTAATATTATATTGTGTAATGATATACAAATCTTTTATATTAACCCGTTGTGGTTACACCTCCTAAAAATAACGTAGTGGTCACACGGGGGTCCAATGGACCCCACAACAGTTGCCATGTGCGTTCTTTTTGATGTATCCACTAAAACCTTGAACTGGAATTTAGTTTATGACTTCCTCTTTATAATCCAATAATTTAAAAAAATTTTTTGTTAAAAAAACGCAAAAAAAAATTTTTTTTAAGAAATTTGACTTTTTTTTACAAAAATATTCATCAAAATTTTTTGAAATAAAGCAAAAAAACTTTCTGCGTTTTACTTTCAAAATAGTATATTTTTAAGGAAAAAAAAGCCTGTGGTCCACTGGACCCCATGTGACCACAACCGGTTAATATTTGTAATATATCAATTGTTGTTACGTTGTTTTTAATATTTGCCAGTTAATAAATAATTTCAAATTTTTGAACACTAAAGATGCTTATATACGATATGAACATAAGCTAGAAGGAATTAAGCATCAGAACCAGCCCATACAGCACAAGAACCTTTCAGAAATATCTAAGAAATGTTTTATTCGATAAGTTGAAACATCTCATAAATATTTCAAAATGTTTCTGCAACAGCTCTGAGACATCTCTGGAATAGCAAAATGTCCGCGATTCTTGCACTTAAAACTTTTTTGAAACTGTGCTGAAAGGTTACCAAAATATATCTGAAACCTTTCAGAGATATTTAAAAAATGTTTCATCTGATGGAGTTGAAACATGTCATAAATATTTCAAAATGTTTCTGCAACATCTCTGAGACAGCTCTGAAATAGCAAAATGTCCGCGATTCTCGCACTTGAAACCTTTCTGAGAAAATGTGTTGAAAGGTTTCC